AGGGTGGAGCGAATGCTGATTCAGAAGCTTGAAGTTGGTATATTTACAAAAATAGCGGATGTACAGATACACCCGGGTATACGATATAATTTGCGGTATTCTTTTAAGCTACTGAGTATTTCTTTAGTTTAGCTTAAATTAGTGGTGTGACTTGTGACATGGATAGTCCATTTGAAGAAGGATCATGAGCATCTACGTACATTTTTTATGTTGTAATAATAATAATAATAATAATAATAATAATAATGATAATAATAATGATAATGATAATGATAATAATGATAATAATAATGATAATAATAATGATAATAATAATGATAATAATGATAATAATGATAATAATGATAATAATAAAATAATAATAATAATAATAATAATAATGAGTAATAATAATAATACAAACGGTTTGGAAAGTTATATTATTAATTAATTAACTACAAATTCATTTATGTCCTTAATAGTGAAGTTATCGGCTGATTATAAACAGCCGTTTAACCAAACACCGTTTTACAAACTTCTAATACAATCAGCTAATCAAAACAACCAACAAAATCCGTTGTTATCAATCGACCAACAAAATCAGCTAACGGCCAGCGGCCAACAGCCAATTGCCAAACACTCCCAATGTTAGTAATTATTTAAAATAAACGTAAACATAATTTTTAAAACTTTTTCGAAAACATATTAAAAATAAAAAAATAAAACTAATTTAAATTATAAACTTTTAAATTCATTTTTAATGGTCATTTTGCGGGAAAAGCTAATTGCAGATTTTAAGCTAATAACATCTTACTTCAAACCGCTAATGAAAGCGGTTACTTAAAAAAGCTAACGGAATCTGCTAATATATATCAATCTGCTGATTCAACCCGCTATGAGCTAGCAAACAACTAATATTATCAAACACGGCCATTGACATTTTTAAACCTTCATTGTTGATGACAAAATCAAAATAAAAGGACTGCAAATGTCAATTTCACAATACTTAGAATATGAAATATCGGGAATTCTAAAGTTGATAATCAAAAGTTTCACTCACAAAAAATTGACCAATTTATCCCTAGGGCTTCTTCTTTTTTACCAATATGTCTCAAGCTAAGTGGGCCGTGTGCGACTGAAGCCCTGCCCTGGGGCCTGACTAGGCGTAAGCAAGTAGTTCTTTCTCTGGTCGGATCTAGTGGTGGGCAAAAATACCAAACCGGCATGGTACTGAACCGGACTGGTATGGTATTAGACCGAAAAACGGGGTTTGAAACGGTTTTCAATTTTTTGTCCCGAATTGGACCGTGTCGGTTTCAAACATGCCATGATCGGTTCTCATAAAATGAGAAGTGATACTAGATCGAACCATACCGAAGTATGATTTATATAATTAATAATTATATATACATTATACTATTACTTTGATTATTGTCTTTGCACTTCCATAGCCTTTGCTAGTTCACTTGAAGCTTGTCGCTGGTCGCTGCCAGAGGCGGATCTTCATGGGGTGAACCCAGCCCACTTTTGATTTTTTTTATTATAGGTGTATACCACGTATTTAACAAAAACTTATGTTCAGTCCAGAGAGTTTGCAGCCGCGATCTACTATAGTTTATCTCAATTCAATATTTTGTGATTTATGTTTTATACTACTATAGTTGATCTAAAATTTATTAATTGATCCCTCCGTCCCTTAAAACTTTGTCATCTTTCTTTATTGCGATGTCCCAAAAAACTTTGCTTCTTTCCCTTTTAATCAATTATTTTGTGGTTTCTATTATTTCTCTCTCCTTTGCACAAATCTCAACCACACAGTCTTTACTTTACTATTCTCCGTGTCGGTCAACTTTGGCAAAGTTTTAAGGAACGGAGGTAGTATAAAACATGAAAATTGATAAATTGTGTGGATTTTTGGAGGATGACTAAACTTTATTTTTTCGGAAAAAGTTATATTGTTTCGTATTGGTATGACATGACACCGTCCCATTTAAAAATGAAACCGTACCGAACGGGTTTAGGTCTAAGATTGAACCAAATAGAACCATTTCAATAGTCACGGTACGGATACGGGTTCGACAAAATATTGGACCGGACCAGACTGTGCCCACCACTAGTCGGCTCTTAGAATCCACTGCAACAGTGTGCACCACTGAAGTCCAAAAAATTTACCTCGTGTTTCTTCTCGAGAACCAAAACAAAATCTTTGAAAACATTAAGTGGTGTGATTTAACATAATGGTAGGAAAAGCCGGGCAATTCTAGAGCTCTTACGGGAAAATAACAAAGACAGAGAATGTACCCCAACTTGAAACTTCTAAGCTTGTAAGTATTGGTGATATTTTGGCGTTCCAATTGTGTAGCCTCGCAATCGAGCGAATTGACGGATATCGAATAAGCGACGACGGTCTTGGAAATGAAGGGTTTACAAAAAGCATCTATTTTAGATTGCATTCTTCAAAACAGATCACTCCACATATTTTTTCACTGTGTATCTTGAAAATGAGGACAACTCATACTTTAGTTCCCTCTCTCTTGTCCACATGTATGAGAAAAACACGGAGTAGTTTTGGGAACACATTATTAAATATTTAGTAGGTGATTTTGGAAAAACACTTAGTATTATAACATTACAAATAATTTATTTTATTGAATACTTTACTGGTCCTGATGTGTGTGAGACTTTTGTTGGTATGTAAAATGCATTGGCTAGTACCATGGATGTTAATGCACTCTTTATGGTAAAAGTGATATTACCATAGAGGATAAGGAGATCCATTTTTTATAAAGGAAATCACCTATATTAAAATAAAATCAATCCAAGAACAAACATTAGATGCAAACAGAACACTCACCCCTCTCTCTAGATTCAAAATCTAAAGATCCACTCATTCGTCGATCAGACATGAAAATAATCACCCTATAAAAAGTATGTCATTTCACTAATGATGTGAGAGCCTTGAAGATAAAAACGATTGTTGGAGCATTCAAACTTTTTACCAATGTAATAGACACCCTAACAAACAGCTTATAACCCCCACCAAAACCATTACTATGAAAAATGACAATATGACAGAAAATAAAGTAGTTATTTTAACTAACAACAAAGAAAGATCACTCCTCTCCCTTATTGTCCAGTGTGCAAATCCAGCTCTGCCAATCATCCTTCCCAATATGCATTGTGCTTGGAGAGCCAACAAATCCTGGCCCGCCTCTGTTCCATTTTATGACGTGCAAAGCTCAATTTTCATATTTGCATCTTTGGTTGACGCCCCTTCTTCCTCTAGGCATCTCAGCTTCTGGTTACCAATGTATTCATTCCGTTCACTAGTCCCGCTCACCACTCAATCCCTCCTTCATGACAATCAAGATCCCCCTTGGTTCACCCCCCTTGCGTGATCCGCTCTCTGGCTCTTACACTCAATTATTTTAAAAAACAATCCTCACAAATACACTCATTCTCTAAGTGTATAACACTCTACAGTCTAAACACACATTTTTCACTTTATGATCTGATAATAATGAACAACAATAGACTCCCTATTTATAGGTGTAGATGAGAGATAAGAGGAAGTTGCATCCAAGCTTCCATTCTCATTGCTAGGGTGGTTCCTAATTATCTTCATACCTTCTACCATGTTTATTTGTTGGAGAGATCCTTCCAAAAAGGTCTTAAATGTCTTTTGGCAGCTTACAAGAAAGAAGGTGGAGGATCCTTCCATTAGGTAAACTCATTAGCAGGTTATGTACTTGTATCTAGAAATTAGCCATATACGGTGGTATGGAAAGAGGGATATCCCCATCCATCACCTTACGCAACACAATCAAATTTTGATCAAATAACTATGGCCCATTTTCCAAAATCCTATATATATCAACCTTGTGGTAAAACTAAAACAGATAACGACGTTCCCCTAGATCTGTATTGGATGTTGCATGCTTCCAAAAGTAATGGTGTCGACTAGAGAAAGTTCCACGCCATTACCCATGTAACTTGGGTTGGATTCAAGCACAAGTTCATCCTCTTCATCCTCCATGGTCGTCCTCTCGCAAGCCTATTCAATGAGTCCATTCCTCGAGCGAACTTGATGTTCTCAATACCTTCCCTGAACAGCTTCTCTTTCTCAGCAAATGACACTTTGTCGCACAAACGCCTAGTCCCAACGGCCAATAACAATTGACTGGAACTAGAAACCCAGCCCCAGACTCAATTCTGCTTCAATCCGGCTGGCAGACCAAGTCCACCCCTAAATTAGAGTGATCAAGAATGATCGAATATTATTCGGATCAAATAGGACTTAGGAGTGGGAGTTAAGGGTGGAAAGAGAACATACATGGAGTTGTGAGAATGATTTTGTCTTTCTCTTTCTGTATCTAATGTTTTTACTTCAATATCATATGTTTACTATATTAATGTTAGCCGACTAAAGACTATTTTAGTCTATTCATGATTCATCTCATTTAAGTATAGGAAACATTCATTTTGCATTTAAAAATGTGCTTGAACTTGCCACCCGATTACCCTAATGGTAGTAAATTTTCCTAACCCTATTTTCGGCTGGTGACAGTTAGTGACGCACTATAATGAACTGGGTAGATTAACAAAGGCATCACATTTCCGTTTTGAATCCATAATGAACTACATGAAGCACGTGAGCTGATGAGCATTTCATTTTCGGAATTGGGTAGATTAACCTTCAAAAAAAAAGAATTGAGTATATCAGAGGGTTTTCTTAAGATATTATCAAAATAAAATTTGTAGGTAAAAATACAAACTACAGTGACTATGTGAATACATTATAGTGATTATACGAAGTAAACCATATTGTAAAATTTAAACATAATTATAATTAGTAACAGTTATTAAATCACATTTTTATGCACTGGCTTTATTTTGGTCATGCATCAGGTATTCAACAAGCATGGGGAATTAAATACCTGATGCAAAATAAATATGCAAAATAAGAATTAAAAAAAAACCGTACATATTAAGCATCAGGTATGCAAAATAAGAATTAAAAAAAATAAAACCGTACATTGCACTTGCATCACATTTTTTTCCCACAAGCCATAACGTGGAATTAATTATTTCTTCCAAAAAAAATGTTTTTTTCCTCTCTATTTTACACCGGTGTAAAACATTGTATATTACAATCTGGATTCTCATTTCTCAATACTTTTAACTATATTTATGAATAATAAATTAAAACAGTTCAAAAAAGCTAACATATTTGGTGTAGGAACACGTTACATCCTGATTAGGTTGGAATGGCTAAGCTAGAAGAACAGCAGTCGCGTTTTTTAGCTTATCGTAAGCTCTCTGTACTTCGTGCCTTTCTTCTAGACTCATGTTACTGGAATCTGGAGACTGCAAACAAAAGAACAGCTAATACCATTAGCTCATTTGCACTTACGAAACAAAGATTAATGGTGGGTAGTTTCAGCGTTATATTTGAGTCAATACCAGACGAGCAGCTAGACATTGCGAGATGATCTCAATCTCAGCCTTGCATGAAGAGAGCAATCGCCTCATTCTAGTATCGGTAAGCAGAAGCAGGAGAAGAGACACCACACTTGACACAAGACTGCTTTTGTGGTTGATTATTGCTGGAACGAATTCAATATCTTGTCGAGACAAAGTCGGAGAACCATTTACAGCCAACAATGATCCCAGCCCTTTCAGAACATCACTTAACAGTCTACTGCTTCTATGGAATAGAAAGAAGCAAGGAAGAAGGTAATACTGACTTTTCTTCAAACTCAAGATCGAATTCTGCTTGTTAACTTCTTCTGGAAGATCCTATATAATAACACAAATCCCGGAGTGAAAAGAAATGTAATGAATACTATTATCCTGGTCAGTAAAGATTATATCGCTGAAATGGCTGAATCTACTAAAAACAATGTGTTTAGCAAGACCCAGCCAAATAAAGTACATAGTACTTGATCTGAATATTCTGATTATTTTGCCTACAAAAAAGGCTTCAATAGTATCACCAGATTAAATTAAACACTTGAAACTCATGCTACGAAGCATACTGACAAAACTTTTAGTGTATGGCCTCCACGCAGTGTTTATTCTATCTTTTTATGTGTGGTCATGAAAGACGAAAAGAGAAGTAATTATTAGCGATGAGTACTTACCGATGCAACTAGTAATAAATATTTTGGAAGAACATGGCAAAGCTTGTCAATACTATGTCCCGAAAGTCTTGTTGGAACTGTGTCTATTGTGGTAAGAATCCTTAGAAGAGCATTCATGTTATCTATCGGAGGGCTAAGATACTGAAACAAATTGCAAGATGTCACCTCTAATAAACAAAGTATAACAATACCAACCGTATAAAACAAACCAATGATAGCTAAAAGAAGAGGGAAATAACTCTAAATAATGTCAACCACCACCCATAAACCAATAATAATACATGCAATATACTTTATAAGTCACTGTAAACAATACACCTATATAAATATATAAAAATAATAATGATATAATACAGAGCTACTGTCCTAATTCGAATCCAGTCATTTAATCCATTAAAAACTGATCAAAAACATATTTCTATACTTAATTACTTATCATGATCATCATCATCACCCCAGTGCCGCAAAGGCCCCTACACCTTTGGTGGGGTAAGGGGGGGTCGGATGTACGCAGTCTCACCCCTGTACTAAAGCACAAAGAGACTGTTTCTGGATGACCCATAGTGAAAATCGCGTCGAAAATTGCATGGACTGACTGATAATAATGAAAATTTTCCATGTGCACATAAAGATTTCTATACTTATAATAATGAAAATTTTCCATGTGCACATAAAATGTAAGTTGATCAACTTACAATCTGATCAATTATTACTTTCTCCACCATCTGGAAAATAAGACGGTTATCACCGATATGTGACAAACAAGAGCAAACTGCACTTATAACCGGTTGAAAGGCTCCATGGATTGATTTTCCATCCTCTAAAGAACGGATTTTCTCTGCAAAGGATCCAATTACTAGATTTAATCATTATATCCTGGTGACTGATTTGATTTACTAGATTTAATAAGACATTTTGATAACATTTCAAATTTTACCAGGATAACTACGGAAACGTGAAACCAACGTGATTAAAAAACTAATGTAATCTGCAATTTGGATACGTCCAGCTTTAGAAGCTGTGTGGAGAATTTCTAAAATGCGAAGAAGTAAAAATGGTTCCAGATCATGAGCTGCAATATGTGTGAAGAGAACCACAATGTTAGACAATATTTAACTCATCATTTGAAGTTAGTCACACCTTCCATGTGTGTAAACTACATGTGAGAATCACAAAATCAAGCAAACAATGAAACAAATAAATGATAAAAGATGTAATACTGTAACATATATATGGGACAACTTACAAAGGCAGCATAGAACTAATGACTTAAGAATCATCGTGTCTAGGGAAGAGAAGTAATATAGGCAACAAAGTGAAAGCTCTTGAATGTCTTTTGACAGTGTCATGAAAGGACCATATGCAATACCTCCTAAGGCCAAAAAGTAGTGTTAGTTGGAAGCAAATGATGATGAATAATGAAGAAGAAATTAAGTACACCATGGGCAGGAATCTTAATCAGGAGCTTTCTTAACCTTCACCAAGGGTTGTGCTATAAAAACTACTTAGTATATACTGCATATCATCATATTCCTTTGCAAATGTAGAATCTAAATGAGCTGTTTGTCCTATGCGAAGTTGAAGACGCAACACTGTCTGGATAATGCAAGCCATATTAGCATTATAAGGAGTTTTGTTTTATATATTAAAAAAGGCAAAGCTAAAGGAAGTATTTAATGAGAAAAAATCAAGCATTCAAAGTTATTTAATGAAAAGTGTACCTTAGAAGTTAATGGATGTTTATCACCTAAAACAATAAGCAGCGAAGGGAGCTCCTTTATCCAAGAAAATTGATAAGCTAGCATTTCAGAATCACTTGTATCTAAGTAACCATCTTTGTCCTTCAAGTTGTACATGAAAATGGGGATTAGTTTCATCTCAAGGAAAAAACATTATTCGCTGTATGTAATTCAGGATTCCTAAATATATTACATTATTCCAAACCATCAAGAAAAAGAAAACGAAAAAAGAAAAAGAAAACGAAAAAAGAAAAAGAAAAGCACATTGCTGCTATCCAGCATGTTTCTGCAAAATCTGATATCATAATTGTTATGTGTTGCTATTTAATTATTTTTCATAATGCTAAAAAGACCAAAATGAGTCTTACAGAGAACATCATTTCTTCAATTGCAGAAAGGCAAGCTAATTTCATTGAGGACTCTGGACTGCAAATCTTGAAAGTATTAGAGAAAGCCTGCGATTGGCAGTAGAAACGCTAACTTTATGACTGTTACAGCATTTTCACTCTTCAAAAACAGATAGATTGAGATTTAAGAACAAGTTATTGTTTTTGGTCTTGGAACCTGAAGAATGCGATACTTCCAAAAACCACCAGACAAAAGTGTAACAAGTTCTGGAATGAATGACACCAACGCAAGCAATTGCTTTTCATGAATTATTACTTTACCAGACTCCTTGCGGTGGCAAAACTGCAAACCAAAGACACGTAGTTATTATTTGTACCATACAAACTACAATGTTACTACCTACATGTTGATTATCTAGCTTATCAAGGCATCATTTAGGCATAATATGTACCTTATTCTACTTTCATATCATGAATATAATGCCTTTTGTCTTTTTAGCGGGCACAGAATACATAGACTCAACTCACTCAAGATATAGTTATGCAATTATGCTTGAAACGAACCTACAGATATGAAGCCAATCTTTCATATATATGGACCATGTTCTATTTGTGAAGCCAGAAGATGATATGCTAATATCTCTCCATTTCTTTGGTGGAGTAAATAACAATATCCAGTATGAGTTAGTAAAAAATAAGCTTAACCATGAATAATCAAAGTAAAATTGAACCTTTCCACAAAATGAACTTTCAATGAACTCCAGAAACTTCTCCATCATTGCAGGGGGTTGTTGATTCACATTACTCAACTTCAAAAATATTTCTGTAATTACAATATTCAACATGAAATAACGATCATTGCCCTGCAATGGAAAGAGCACAAGAAATCAGAGTAAACATATAAGTGAACAAGTGGAGGGGGTGTAGGGCTGTACGTAGCTAAAAAGTTCAATGTTATTATGACTTGTGAAGTTGTGACATTACTTCAAATTTTCTTACCTTGTTGCCTTTCAAGTCCACCATTAAATGATCCAAGAGTGTACACTCTAGTTGCAGGATTCTCTAATAAATTAGCTTTCAGCCACTAACATTTATTTTTCGTCTATTATCTTCTTTCAGTCAGTATTGAAACAGCTTGTTTCGAATAGGAAAGTATACCTTCTCTAAGAGGCCATGACCAGTGTTAAAAGGAAATTCATCCCAAAGCTTCTTTAGAACCGACGAAGAAATGCTGTGAGCCCAATTGTGGCTACTAGGAAGTTCATTTCTCAAGTCTTCTTGACTCTTCTTATCAGAGGCTTCAATAAAAAATCTGACGAGAAGATCTATGTTTTGAAGTATAAGTAGCATGCAATCATACGATTGAGTGTCTACTTGGGCCGTAGTATGAAATAAGGGAATGAAGTCCTGAAAACAACCAACAAGAGCAGGTAACAGTTTCATCAATTTCTCCACGACACCAGAGCTTGAAATCCCTACACAGAAAATATATGAAGCAATAAGTACCCACGACAATCACTTAAAATCAATTTATTTGATATGAGCGGGTAAAGATTGGCATAATTTAGTACAACAGTGCTTAACTTGTGGTGTGAAAACATATAGGAGGAACTCCCCTTACTTACCAGAGGAGTGACTTGACATGTCAGGAATAAAAGCATGCAACGTCACTTGAATGAGAGAATCCTGCAAATGTTCAACTTTACCATTCAAAAAAATGTAGAATAAATAGAGTATATGAAACTTTGTCTTCTTGTTTTGAGTCTTCTACACAAGAGAAGTTAAGAACCTATTTTTACTTGGCTTATTCTTTTACTTTTGTATTTCATACCCAAGTTGTCCATTTCAACACCTCATCGGCTCATTGTTCATTCTTCCACTCGATCAGTAGAAGAACATTACTTCTCCACTAGACCCTCACAAATAACATAATAACCCAAACCATAAAGTTGAACAGCCTTAACATATACTCCCTCCGTTCCTAAAAATTCTTCCCGGTTTGACTTGGCACGCTTATTAAGAAAGTGGAATAAAGTGGAAATGTATGGTTGTGGTTGTGTAAGAAAAAGGTAAAATGAATGTGAGCCACACAAAATTGTCCAAAATGGGAAAGTGGGAAGTATTTTTGGGAACAACCCAAAAAGGAAAGTGGGAAGTATTTTTGGGAACGGAGGGAGTACTTCGCAGTAACAAGCTTGAGAGAAACTATTAATACATAATAGAACTAACAAAAGTCCCCATAGTTTCATAGATTACCACACAGCTGAGTTGTTTAATGTGTTTTCAACAAATGAAGATTGAAATAGACAGACTTCATTAAACTAATACTTTACAACAAACAGAATCAAAATAACTAACTAGGAACAGTTAATAATGTATACATTCTTATCTGCTGAGAGACCTGCACTTCTGTTTTTGAAAGGCAGCAATGATAAGCAGTGCACCAACCCAGAAAGAGCAATCTTAAGCTTTCCTTTATCATGTAGGTGATATGTGTTCTTCTGCAAAATGTCTCCATAATTTTGAAGGATCTACAATTTCAGTGAAAGAGGAAAATGTAAGGACCAAAACATTTAAAATCTGGAGAAAAATTTAAAGTTTACAACAATCAAGATGCAACAAAATCAGAAAGATGAAACGTGTCTGGAATAACACCATCTTGTCTAGTGCTAAACCCAATAGCCAGTTGAGGTTGCCATGCACCAGACAAGAAGCACTAGACCTAGCCAATGAGGGCAAGACCGACCTTGGGCTTACCGGTGATAGGAATCTGGCTTAGTAGGCTAATAATAGAAATAATAATAGTAAGTGTACTTGTAGTAGTATAAATAGAATAAGTTTGGGAGAGATCAGGAGGCTGTTAGACGTTAGTCTTGGGACTGGGAAGTTAGAGACGCATCATCTCTCTCTTTTGGGGGCTTCGGTCATTGTTGCTCTGTTAATATTCAATAAAGCTTGTGAGGTTCTTTGGACTTCTTTCTGTGATTTCATTGTATTTTTTTATATCTCTATCAGTGGTATCAGAGCACGTTTGATCGCTGGATGAGATATACGTGTGCTAAGATGGACAGAAGTATGACGGAAGTGGAGAGAAACTTGACGGATATAGCAAGAAACCAGAGAGAAGCGGCAGTGAGACAAGATAATATGGAGACGACGGTGGCCGCTATACAAGCTAGCATCGCGGAAATACAAAACAGACTTCAAAGTCGATCGAAGAATCGATCGCACACCTCGCACCGCTTTTCACATCATGGACACGCGAGAAGTTCTGCTAGAGCAGAGGGATCAGAAGGTAATTCCAAGTATTTTGTTTCGCATCAAGAGCAGAGGTTTCGCAGGGGACCGGGAGATCGATCGGGGAGCAATAGGCATCATCCGCTATCGCAGACGGAGTCGCAGACGAAATCGCAAACTTCTTCTCATATTTCGCAACCGCGAACAGTTTCTCAACATTCGCAGAATTTCCCACCGGCTATCAGTTTGTGTCCAAGAAAGACGCGATTGAGAGAAGAATCTCCATCTTCATTGCCAATCGATTCTCACTGTTCGCCTTCTTTGTCTCAAGTCGCTTCTCTGGGTTGGCAAGCAATTTCTTCCGGACCTCTGGCTTTGTCTCGAGCAGACAACCCCAGTTCGAAATATCTATCTGAGTTTCCAGAGTTGCAGCAGGAGTTGGTTAATCAGCAGCACACCTATGGCGAAGAGGAACGCAATAAGAAGCTGGAACAATTTCTCGTTCTCTCACTTGTAACAACCAGTCAACCACTCCAACTTGAATAACAGCAGCAAGGATTGGAGTTCTTTTAGAGAAAGCGAACTTCCTTCTTCTGACAGGCAAGGTTGGAACCAAGAATTATGGCTGTTGTACTTGGTAATGCAGGAGCTGATTTTGTATTTCCGATCACAGTGTTATTGTGTTGCTTCATACTAGCAAAGATTATGACATTTTAAAGACAGCCTGGGTTCCTCCACTCTATGTTTCAAGACACGAGGTGAAAGTGGACTCTACTTTTGAGAAACGTGCAGGGGCAGAGAGGTTTTGGTGGAGAATTTCTATGAGAGTTGTTGGGTGGAATGATGTTGGGTGTACTCGAAGTGCGGCAGAGGGTGGCATTATTTTACTGAAAAGCATCATGACAGACATTCATAACTCAAAGGGAGAAAAGTCAAATGGAGTTGAAGCAATTTGTAGTTCAAAAATTTCTTATGAGCAGATTAAAAGGGATAAGAATCCTGACGTTCAGGTCATGAACACAAATTCTGCTACTGTTGTAAGGGATATACTTCAGGAAAGCATGAAGATATTTGTGGCTATTGAAGACCTGAAGACTAAGGAAGAAAATGAAACTTCACCAGAAATATTCTATGCTGCAGAAACACCTGTGAATTGTAAAGATCAAGTACTGAAGCTCCTTGCTCAGAAACCAGTGAGATATTGGGAAGGTAGAAGCACTAGGATGAAGAGAAAGCGGAAGATCTTGGCGGTTTCCTATCACCCACCTTGAGGGCAATGTGGATGTTTAGGGGGAGTATTGATAGGAATCTGGCTTAGTAGTATGATGATGGTGGTGGTGGTGGTGGTGGTGGTGGTGGCGGCTTAGTAGTATGATGACGATGATGACGATGGTGACGATGATGAAGGTGACGGTGGCGAGGACGGTGGCGGTGACGGTGGTGATGATGAGGATGACGACGACTACTACTACGACGACGACGAGGACGATGACGATGACGATGATAATAATAATAATAATAATAATAATAATAATAGTAGTAGTAGTAGTAGTAGTAATAGTAGTAGTAGTAGTAGTAGTAAGTGTACTTGTAGTAGTATAAATAGAATAAGTTTGGGAGAGGTCAGGAGGCTGTTAGTCTTGGGACTGGGAAGTTAGAGACTCATCATCTCTCTATTTTGGGGGCTTCGACCATTGTTGCTCTGTTAATATTCAATAAAGCTTGTGAGCTTCTTTGGACTTCTTTCTGTGATTTCATTGCATTTTTGGATATCTCTATCAGTGATACTCACCCCCTTTGTAATAATATTGATAATAATAGTTAATCATTTAGAGTCAGGACATGGGCCTAAGGCCTGATTTAGCGTGAGAGGATGATGCACATGTTATGTTTGAAAAACTTAATCAAGCAACATTATTGGTTAATTGAGGTCCATGCTAAGGCACGGAGGCACCTTAGCATATAAATATATTAACTAAACTTATGCATGAAGCAAGAGCATAGAGACATATTAGCATGATTCAATTAAACTTATACACGAAGAAGGCAATGAAATATAGCAAAAATCTCAGACATAGTAACTCAAGAAGTAAGAGCTTATCCATTTATTTCAATAAAAATTCACGTACCTTTTCAGAGTAAAGGGAAAATGAAGAGGGATAACTTTGGATGACAAGGTCAAAAAATTTGAAAGCCATTAGTCTCACGTCTACTGCTAGGCTTGTCATTGCGCTCAAAATGTACACCATTATCAAGGAAATAAAAGCCCCCTTGACATCCTGAAAGCAAAAAAATACAACCATAGCTGCCCTTAGTTTACAAAATATATATAGTGAGATAAACTTGCGTGAAAGGAAAAGGAATGCATTCTGGCCTTCAACAAAAGTATAGCATTCACTCAAACCATAATGACAATAATATCTGGTTTGTTACTTTGTAACAACGAATATCACTACCAAAACTAAACAATCACATCCAAAATACCTCTTTGCATCCGGGTAGGATCACCGACTTAAACAGTTGATATAGCGTTTCACGGACCAACTTATCATCATCGCTGATACGTTCACGCAGTTTCTCTATAACAGCAAGTTTGTGAAGCTTTAATTCAATTGGGTATTTAAGAAATATATCCTTGACTCCAACCAATGCATCTGAAAAGAAAACATGTAGTTAAATTATGATGCGCTCATAAAAGATGTATAAAAACCAGCCTTAAATACTCATGCAATGATGATCCCGTTGGGTTCAATGATCAACATCTCTTAAGATGAGGGATATATACAAGTAAAAAGTGCCACATTGAGAGTACCTTTACGGACTTTAGCATTATGATGACTTGTTTGTTGAAGAAGCTCCTTCAGAGTTAATCCTTTCTTACTCACAGCTAAACCTGCTTTCTCCAAAGATACACTCTGCTCGGGAAGCACAATGGCTGTTCATAGGAGTTAGGGAACATCATAACATTTTCATCAGTCCAACTCATATCCCCAAATAGCAATGTTCCACTAATAGTAATGTAAAGTACTTATGGATAAACTAAAACCAAAAAACTATTTATATTTAATAAGTATTAGAAAGGTAAGAACAGAAATGAAATCATCTTATTGATTATAGAAAGTAGTACAGGTATTTATAGTCACCAAGACTCCAACTCACTCATAACAGACTCCAAGCAGCTATAACAACTATACGGCTCTATAACAAACTATATCAAGACTTATTACTATATCAATATGTACAATATTCCTAACATTCCCCCCTCAAACTTATGCTGATTGATTTGGACATTCAATCACACTAAGTTTGGTTCTTAAATCAAGGAAAGAAGAAGCTGATAATGGCTTTGTGAGAATATCAGCCACTTGATGGATAGCTGGAATATGATATACTGCAAGCTGCTTGGACTGAACCTTTTCTCTTACAAAGAAGAGATCAATTTCCATGTGTTTTATTCGAAAGTGAAGAACTGGATTATGAGCTAGTTGTACTGTACTAAGATTGTCACAGTACACTCTGGGAGTCTGAAGTGGAATTTGAAGTTCCTGAAGCAAGAATTGAACCCATAGCAACTCAGATGTGGTATCTGCTAGACTTCTGTACTCAGCTTCTGCTGAGGATCTGGAAACACGCTGCTGCTTCTTGGACCAGCAAGATATGATATTTGACCCAAGAAAAATGCAAGACCCAGATGTGGACCTTCTGTCAACAGGATCAGAGGCCCAATCAGCATCACAGAAGGCTGAAATGTGTAGAGAGAGGCCACTTAGTGAAATAGGTTTGATGATAATGCCATGAGTGATGGTGCCAGAAAGGTATCTTAGAATATGTTTGACAGCTTTCCAATGCTCTTGTGTAGGTGTAGCCATGAACTGACAAACCTTGTTTACTGCAAAACTTATTTCAGGTCTTGTTAAAGTAGCATACTGCAATGTTCCAACAATAGACCTGTAGGTGGAAGAATCAGATAGTGGTTCACTTCCTTGATTGGTAAGCTTGCAACTGCTAACCATAGGAGTTTCAACTCCTTTTGAATCTGACATGCCAGCTTGATGAAGTAGGTCTCTAATGTATTTAGTTTGAGATAGATGAAGACTTCCATCTGGAAGCTTTCTAACTTCTATCCCTAGGAAGTAATCAATTTCTCCTAGATTCTTTAGAGAAAATGAGGAGTGCAGTTTCTGGATAAGATGTTGAACAGCAGTAGATTTATTACCAATGACCAGGATGTCATCAACATAAATAAGAATGTAGATTTGGGTTCCAGAAATCTGATAGATGAGAAGAGAGGGATCACACTTGCTTTGTTTGAAACCAGCCTGATATAAGACAGAAGTAAGTTTCTTGGAGCTTGTTTGAGCCCATAAAGAGACTTGTGTAGTTTGCAGACAAGAGAAGTGTCTTTATCCTTAAATCCTGGAGGTTGCACCATGTAAACCCTCTTCTTCCAATTCCCCATTTAAAAAGGCATTGTTCACATCGAGTTGCTGAATGGTCCAGTGATAGGAAACTGCAAGTGTAAGAAGCACCCTGATAGTAACTGGCTTAACTACTGGTGAAAATGTTTCACCAAAATCAAAACCATATCTTTGATGAAAACCCTTTGTCACTAGTCTTGCTTTGAATTTATTTAAGGAACCATCTGGGTTTTCCTTAACTCTAAACACCCATTTGCAACCTACTGCCTGCTTGTCTGGTGGTAGAGGAACTAAAGTCCATGTCTGATTCTTTAACAAGGCATCATATTCAGATTTCATTGCTGCAAACCAACTTGGAGATGAAAGAGCTTGCTTAACTGAGTTAGGCTCAGTATGGGATAATAGCAAAGTAGGATTCAGTCTTGGTTTTACAATTCCAGATTTGGCTCTAGTGATCATAGGATGAGTGTTGGTAATAGGAGGAGGTGATGGGGAATAAGTAGAGGAAGAGGATGAACCTGTAGCCTGTAGGTGAAGAATTCTGAGAGTGGTGAGTGTTAGAAAGATGATGAGTATTCTGATTGTTAGAAGAATGATGAGAGTGCTGAGTGTTCTGAGTATTGGAGGAATGATGATGAGAATTTACAAAGCAATCATGAGGAAAGAATTCTGATTATCAGTTGAAGCATAGGGCTCACTGTGTTGAAGATTCAGAGGGTCTGCAGTTATATGATGAGTAGCTCCTGAATCAGGGAACCAATGCTGAGATGAGGACCCTGGTCCTACCACAGATGAATGCATAGATGCCACAGCTGCAGTTGGAGCATGGTTTAGAGATTGTTGATTGTAGCTGGCATATTCTGAAGGGTAGGCGTGTGGTCTGAAGGAAGGTAGTTGAGGAGATTGATGATTCCATATCTGATTTGGGTAGTTAGCGTGGATATTTTGTTGATTTGGATAGGTGTTTAGAGAAGAGGATGGTGATTGTTGATTCCAGATAGTTGGAGGTGCAGGATTAGGATTAGAGTAGTTTGGAAGAGGAGCAGCATATGCAGGATTGTATCTATGATAGCAGTTTAGGGCATTATGACCAGACTTCCCACAAACTTGACAGGTAATGGTGTTCCGACCTCCATATCGGCCACCACGTCCTCGATTGAAGTTTCCTCGACCACGTCCCCTATAAGGAGGGTTAGAAGATTGATTCTGATACTGAGCAATATTTGCAGAAGGAGTTTGTGTAGGTGTTGAAGAAACTATTGCTGAATTTGGAGGCGGAGCTTCAGTACTTGCTGTATTAGCAGAAAACAATGTTTGTGAAGAAGACTCTCTGAGTTTCTTCAGTCGCAATTCTTTTGCTAGCAGTAGAGATTCAAGTTCTGTAATAGTGATAGGGTCCAGTATGCTTCGAGATGACACAGAGGAAACAAGTGGATCATACTCTTCCGGAAGTCCTTCCAGAATTACGTTGACATGTTCCTTGATAGAAATAGATTCGCCAATGTTCATCAGATTATCAACAATATGTTGAATGCGAAGAAGGTACTCAGAAATTGATCGATCACCTTTTCCGGTTGAGTATAGTTCGGACTTGAGCTGTCTAGCTCTAGCGACAATGGTTGCTTTAAAATATTTGTCGATCTCGCTCCAGAGTTGATGCGATTGTTGACAATGAATCACTCGAGTGTGCAGATTTTCAGAGAGAGATGCTAACAGCCATGAAAACAGCATCTGATCTTGCTGCTCCCAACTGATGTAGGCATCATTTTCAATTTTCGTACCTCCTTCTTCGCCGGCTATGAATCTGTCAGGAATTTCAGGTTGCTCAATGAATTTGAGCAATTTGTGAGCACGGATAACAGATCTGACATTATGTTTCCACAGGAGAAAGTTGTGCGAATCAAGCTTAATAGGAAGAGGATGATTGAAGGTGATTGGTGCGGAAGTGATTTTTGGATTTTGAGATGAAACTGAATCAGAGATTGAGATCGTCATGGAAGACCGAGCTTAGAGCTCTGATACCATATTAGAAAGGTAAGAACAGAAATGAAATCATCTTATTGATTATAGAAAGTAGTACAGGTATTTATAGTCACCAAGACTCCAACTCACTCATAACAGACTCCAAGCAGCTATAACAACTATACGGCTCTATAACAAACTATATCAAGAGTTATTGCTATATCAATATGTACAATATTCCTAAAATAAGAGATTTTTTTGGAAAAACGAGCCACTATTGGGATAGTTCTACTCGTGAGTCGTGAACCAAGATATGATATTTTGACAATTACAGTTCTTGCAAGAGACAATTACAGTATAACCTTGGGGACTTGGCCTAAATGCAGACAATCGCAGATATATGTTAACACACAGCTTTGTAAGCATATATTCTACAAATAAACACGAAAACAAGCTTTTTGCAATTAAAAAAAATAAACAAGAACCTTTGGATTTGATTTCTGTGTTTGTAGAGTTCTTTGGGGGAGGCAATTTTCTGCCAACTTTTCTTTTGATTTTCTGGAAAGTCAACATCAAAAGAAACAAATGCATGAGCATATGAACAATTTGAAGTATAGAGCAATCATCAATACGACATATTTTTATCTCACGTTTCTAAATTAAGAATTAAGCAAGATAAGGAAATAGTAAATACTTTAAAATCGACACCACGCTTTTGCTGCTTCTTTGATTGGGTCTTAGACTTCACCATCGAGGTAGAGATTCAAATATCTTCGGCTTATAAAAATGTAACGACCTTAAAAAGGAAGGACCTGTGGAATTGATGAATCAGGATTCTAAAATAGATACAAAATTACACAAACTTAATAGGTTAACAAAGAGAGCTTGATGCAAGAAAGACTCAAGCAGGTGCAGAGTGGAATGATAACCAGAGGAGATGGGTGAATAACCGTTTAATCATACCAAGAGAGGAACCATGAGGGTAATTCTGCTTCTGATTCTGTTTAAGAATATAATCAAAAATTCAGATATCAATTTTCCAGATTGTATACTAAAAAATATACAATCAGAATCCCTTTTTGGGAGCTACACCCCAAACTTCCCCAAATTTATATCCAAATACTCAACTACTCAAGCAGCTTTAAATATGTTTTAAAAATCAGTTGTAAACACCCCAATATATAAAACTAAAACAAAAGTGACCTAGAAAGGAAATTGCGAAAAGACAGCTAGGTTATATCGATATTCAATAAAGGACTAGTTCCAGACGGAAAAAAGGGATAAAAACTGCTGATGTGACGGCCTTATCTGAATTTTTGCAAGGAACGAGTTTAGGAAATTACGAAACCCCAACCACCCAAGAAACCCTAACCACCCCATTACCCATTAAAATTAAAATATAATAGTTATTTTACTCCCATCTAGTAATCTCTACTTGGTCAATGTGGTTTTCACAGTTTACCGGGAACAGTTCAATGCAAGTACCGGATCATATATAATAGTCACTCCTACTCCTGCGTTATTTAAAGGGCACTCTTTGAGCACATAATAAGTTGGCACACCTAATTTAGATATGGTGCATATCAGCGACATCAATAATTTGTCATGGAACTAGATATTCACCTATCCTGAGATCCTTATAACCTATGTTGGGGTGGGCAATTTAGTGATGACAAAATCTACTATGACCACAATTCCACACACGTTATGGACACCAACCGGCATCAATCGGGTTGTTTAATGAATTTATTTTGTTGAACAGGGTTGGGTTTTAGATAATCTCATAATCATACATTTTAAACTGGGTGATAAACGATGTGTTTAAACTCAAACTTGAAATATTAAAATATTTGGAAACTTAGAAACAAAATCAGAATCGTAGCACGAAATGAATAAACCACCATAATTCAAAGTTGTGATATTATGGTCTGGGGCGGATCTAGCATTTCAATCTAGGTGGGGCCAAATATTTCATATTTCATATACATAGTAAATGATACTACGTATAACTACAATTGAATAAATAAAAGTAAAATCAAAAAAATGTTTCAAATGTTTTACAAGAATAAGAGTTTTCATCCCAGGCAAATAAAAAAACACATAAAGAATTCATACTTGTTCTCTACGGACTTTCATAAAGTGATATCACTTGATAATGACTTCACTTGATCACGGTCAATTTTCAAGAAGATATCTTTTTTCTCAACGGGTTTATATAGTCTTTTTGAAGTTTCTTCAACTAGATCTACGGGAGGCCAATACCATTCTTAGTGAACCATCTTCATTAGCTTCTACTTCAATAGATTTATAATATCTCTTCAAACCTACCTTAATTAGCTTTTATTACTCTACAACAATACACAACATCCTACAATAAGTTAGAAAATAGCAAAAAGGTCCGCACAAGTCACATGTGCATTAGAAGCAATAAGATTCATACTAACAGAAACTAATGGTAGTAATGATGAAAATGATATTTGTCACAATTCATAATCATAATAACACTAATGGTTTAATGCTAAACGTCTAAATAATCAGATTAACACTGACAATGGTATTAATGCTAATGGTATGAAATGATTAATACTAAACAATGACACTAATATTCACACACACAAATCACGATAATATTATAAATTTCCCGAAAATGCTGGAGTGTTGAAAAAACCCACAATCAAATTACATAAAATTACAAGCCATGAAAATTGATTTATAATAGCATACTTTCTAAGTATACAATGTTGTGAAATTTAGGTATCAAAAACCAGAAAATAATTTATGCTTATTTAACTAGAAAAAATAATCAAAATACTATATTTCACTAATAAACATTTCAGAAAACTACAATTTACTAATTGAACAGAAAAAATGGTCAATGAGTAATTGTCTAATTGAGTCTGATTTTTTTCGAAACACATATCATAAAAATTCACTAATTTAATAAGAAAAATTTTCTATTTTGAACAAAATCTGGAATTTAATTTTTTATTTAGGCTTACCTAGCTAAGCAGTATCCGTACAGACAGAACTCGGAGTTTCCCAGCGTGCAGGAGCGGTAGACGGCAGGGCAGCGCGCTGTAGCTGGCGGAAGTTCGCAGCGGTGCGGCAAATGCTAGTAACTGGTGCACACGCGCTGTTGAAGAAGAATGGTTGTCGCCTCATCGGTCGTGCTGAACTGTTAAAGAGGAAGATACAGAGTCCGGAGTACTACTTTGCTGCTTTGAGAAAGACGACGGGCGACGAGAAGAGACTAATGCTGGTATATTTTTTCATTTGGGCCGCAAAAATCAATTTTATTCACCCTCATTGAACCACTTTTTAAATATGGGCTGCATATAGAACTTTTCTAGAAGATGAGAGTAAACTGAGTTTTCAGCCGTATTACTGGCCCAATTTTCTAAAGGCCCAAAATTAACGCAGCACGCAGCAAAACCGCCACTCAGCCTTACGCCCGGTCCTCTGCAATCCGCCACTCTCCCACTCCCTCCTTCAGAGATTCGGCCAATCGGCCATTCTCAATTTTCACCTTCGGACCTTCCGTAGCCCCAGTATTTCTCCATACTCCAGTCCTTTTTATTGATTAGTAAATAAGTTCATTAATAGATTTCTGAATATGAAGAGCTCCGCTAGGAGATATATTAGCGATGTTTACTTTAATAACACGGGGGGTAATGATAATAAATCAAATCCATATCTTACACAGCCATCTTCTCGCTGATCTCCTAAGTGGTGATTTCTGAAGTGTAATCCACAAACTGAGCTATACCACGAATCTAAAGATACTTTTTGAGTTTCCATTTCAAGGATACATCTTTGACAAATATATTTTAAAAAACTGAGGGAAAAAGATTCAAACTTACCCAAAACAGATTTTTCTTTGCTGAGTAGCCTTGACAACGGTCACCCAAGAATCCTATCAATGCAGAATTTCAAAATGATGCAGAATGAAAGTGTGAAGGAAAACGAAAGGAACGCCGTGGGGAGAGAATTGCGAGTAGGATACTGAATAAGAGTTTTGGCTTCCTGATCAACTCGGTGTTTTTTAATCAAAATTTGGGTTACAACGGATTAATTTACTAGTTTTCTAGAAAACCAGGAAACTAAAAATTATTTTGTCATCAAAATTTAAAATGTGAAATATATATGTTTTTAAAATAATATGATCTAGGTAGTAGGTACATCTCATGTATCTTCAGCATACATGCATATATATACACACACAAATGAATTTTACCCTTACAGCTTAACAGGTCCGGGAGAATAGTGTATATTTATAATATTTCATTACATCCTCTACAATATAGTGAATAACACTACTAGGCTTCAAGAACTGCAAGTAAATAAATAATCACTCTGAAGTCTGAAGGGATCAAATAAAGAAAATATAATTATTGGTACTTTTGAGACCGATATAAAGAACACATAACATATGAGTAATTTTTAATTTATTTTTATTATGATCAAATGAGATCATATATTTCACAAAAGGAATTGCACAATATTATAAACCTACAGATCGGTCTAATAAAGCCACATTTCTTAGCATAGAAAATGTATCCTAAATTTTACTTTTCTCAATTTAACTTTTACTGATTTGATAAACAAATATTTGAGTCGTTTTCTAAATAGTGAAAAAAAACCACATGACAATGTAACCTTTCAAGTTTCAAGTATGATCAGATTAAAATAATAATTAGAAGAACTGAACAATGCCTTTGCTGGTGGAGGTATATTATATAAAAGGCTGTTAATTTTGGGAGCTAATTACTCTAAATGGCGGCCTCTTCCTACAAATGGCTGCTAATTTGAGTACTAATAAATAATAATCAGGGGCGTATCTAGCTTTGGAATCTAGGAAGGGCCCAAATTTAACTAAATAACATATATTGCCAGAAAAAATTAACATGCAGTATATAATAATGTGCATTTAACCGAATTTAATTTCAAGTGTAAAATAACATCTATTGTGGAAAAAGATCAAAGACAAAAATATAAATATTATAGGAATAAGAGTTTTTGTCAAGGACAAATACAAAAAGCCACAATTTTACAACTGTTCTCTATGGGTTTTCATCAATTGATATCGTTTGATAATGAAATTGGTATTCTCAATCCAATGATTGTTTGTTATTTATGTTTTGTGCGTTATTTGTATTTGAAGTTTCTTGAATTGTAGGTGAGACCACTACAATTCTAGATAAGCTATCTTCATTAGCTCCTTTTTCAACTGGGTGATAGTATCTCTTCATTATCTTTATTGAAAATAATAGAATTATTAGTTACTCGCAATAAGTAACTAAACTAATACCAACTAACTAAATAATTACATTAATACTATCAAAACACCATAAAATCCATACTAATATAAATGATGCCTACAAACAACACATTACAACTCACGAATCACAAATTACATTCTTAATAAATTCATAATAACTGTTAAAACTAATAAGTGGCTCACTGTCTCACTCAAATAGTCAAATAAAACTGGAATTAGCAAACCATCCCTGAAAACATTAATCTGAAATTCCCGAAATAATCAAATTAGGCTGTAAATAATGTAATTTAGTCTATAAAGACCTAGATTGAATATAAAAAATACAATAAAACTAGACAATTAACAAACTTACCGGTGAGGCGACGAAGAGGGACAATAGCGCGCAGAGCACTACACGCTATGGCAGTCGAAAGATGAGAGACGAAAATTAGCTGCTACTCCGCCTACTCAGCTAGAGTCCGTGCGCCGACCGTGAGTTTGCAGCAATAGCGATTCTTCAGTTCTTCTCTGCGGCGGACGGACGAAGAGTTGGGATTTGAGTTATTTCCGATTAGTTCCTCTGGCCCTCTGCGGTTCTACGCCCTTGAGTGACTGTGGAGTGTACGAATTTTGGATGTTGGGCCACGCTGTGGGAGATGGATTTCCAAAGATAGTAGACGGGATTACAGGACTGCCGCAAGGGTATATTAAAGGGTTTGAATTTGATAGGGTATCCGTACTTACCTCATTTCCTACCCATATAAATACCCCATTTTTTACCATCCTTTTTACCCTTCCCTAAATACTTTTCTCTCACCTCTCTCACATCTCCCCACCTACTCCTCAACTTTCCACCAAAACCCCCCTCCTCCTTCGAAATTGCTACGGTGCTCGACTCATCCTCACACCTTCTTCTTTCTTTCATTTCTTGGATGGATATCATGGGAAAGGATGTATCCGAGTTTAGTGATGAGGTTCTTTTGGATGACTTGACATGGTAAGATGAAGGTGACAAGCTTGATGACGTGGGTGGCGGTGGAAATCCGCCATCTCCGATCGTTGTTGAAGTAGCGACGACTTCAAGGGAAGAAGATGATGAAGGTGTGGACGTTGAAGTCTTGGAGAAGAGTATGTTGTTTTTCGTTATTTGTTTGTATTTTGTTTGCTGGACAAACAATTTAGAACTACACTATCTATCTAGCATAAAGTGAAAGCGGTTTCATACTTGTTTGAAGTGAACGTGGTTTATAGTTGTTAGAGTCGTACATAAAATTTGCGTCTGTCTAAACAACTTTTAATGTTTGCAAATGTATGTGTTTTTTATTGGAAACGTGGTTGTATTGGTAATGTAGTTTCTATATAAATGTGTGTGATTTTTTTGGAAACATGGTTGTATTGGTATTGTGAAGTGAACATGTATATTTTTCTAAAATAAAATATGAAGAGGAAGAACATATTTGTATTCAAATCCCCATTGTTGGTATAGAGTTCCCTAGTAAACATGCAGTGTGTGATTTCTACAAGGAGTGCGGGAGAAGAGTAGGGTTTCCTGTTAGAATAAGGAATTCTAGGAAAGATGCGCATGGAACAACATCACCAATTGCATTAGAGTGCGGGCGCGCTGGACATAGGCAAAGTCAAGCAAAGTAGTATCTTCAATGCAAGTTGGTTGCAAGGCCAAAATAAGAGCACGTATAAATTATGTCGGAGGTTGGGTGATTTCAAAGGCTTCTTTAGATCATACTTATCCTATGATTCCTACGAAGTTCAGACTATTTCGGTCTAATAGGAGGTTGACACGGAAAGCTATGAGGCAAATTGCAATCAATGATGTCGCTGATATACCACTTCATAAGAGTTTCAACTTCGTGGTTGTAGAAGCCGGTGGGTATGATCAACTTCCCTCCATTGAAAAAGATTGTAGGAACTATATAGATAAAGTTCGTAAACTTGGGTTAGGAAGTGGTAATGCGGTGGCATTACAAGATTTTTTTTAGAATGCAAGCTCAGTGTCCCGGGTTCTTCTTAATGCTTGATTTGGATGAAGAGTCACGCTTACGGAATGTTTTTTGGGCGGACAATTGATGTCGATATGCTTACAAAGATTGTGGGGATGTCATTACATTTGACACAACGTATCTTACCAATCGATATGACATGCCGTTTGTGCCATTTGTAGGCGTGAATCACCACGGTCAATCAATATTGCTTGGTTGTTGGCTAATCGTGATTGAAGATACTCAAACATTTGTGTGCTTTTTAAAGCTTGGCTTGAGTGTATAGACGGGTGTACCCCGAAGAGAATTATTACCGACCAAGATCGAGCTATGCAAAACGCCATCCAAATAGTGTTCCCGAATACGCGACACCGATGGTGTTTATGGCACATCATGAAGAAGCTACCGGAGAAGTTGGGAGGGTTTACCCATAAAGATAAAATTATGGATGGTATACATGATGCAGTTTATGACTCCCAATTCCCTGCTGAGTTTGAAATCGGTTGGAAATCTCATTCGGAAATGTGGTACACATTAGCGTGAAAATTTATTCTTTATTCCCAGACACATTTTGTCTGGGCCAGACATTAATAGTCTGGAACAATTAACTAATCTCTGTCTTACAGCCAGACACAATTTGTCTGGGCCAGACAAAATGTGGGAGATAAAATTCTCCCGATCAATTGTTAATCGGCTTATCTTGTAACTAAAAATACTACATAACTTCAAATGAAAAATGAGCATATAAGTTTTTTTGTGTTATATAAGGGCTAGTTTTTATTATTATTATAGTCATTAAATGTTAGCAAACTTATCTTCTAATACCTAAAAACACTACATATGAGAGAGAAAGTCTTGTTTTGTGGCTTTAGTTTTTAGTTTGGGAGAAAGCAGGCAGGCTAATTTGGCCGATAATAGCTTTGAATCTCTCGCATGGTCAGCGATTAGTCTTGTTCATAAGAGGAAGAACAAATTTGTATTCAAATCCCCATTGTTGGTACGGAGTTCCCTAGTAAAGATGCAGTGTGTGATTTCTATGAGGAGTACGGAAGAAGAGTAGGGTTTCCTGTTAGAATAAGGAAATCTAGGAAAGATGCGGATGGAACAACATCAACAATTGCATTAGAGTGCGGGCGCGCTGGACATAGACAAAGTCGGGCACAAAATGTTTTGAAGTCTCTACCTTCAATGCAAGTTGGTTGCAAGCCCAAAATAAGAGCACGTATAAATTATGTCGGAGGTTGGGTGATTTCAACGGTTTCTTTAGATCATACCCATCCTATTAGTCTTGCGATGTCTAGACTATTTCGGTGTAATAGGAGGTTGACACGGAAAGCTATGAGGCAAATTGCAATCAATGATGTCGTCGGTATACCACTTCATAAGAGTTTCAACTCCGCGGTTGTAGAAGCCAGTGGGTATGATCAACTTCCCTTCATTGAAAAGGATTGTAGGAACTATGTAGATAAAGTGCGTAAACTTAGGTTGGGAAGTAGTGATGTGGTGGCATTACAAGTTTTTTTAGAATGCAAGCTCAATGTCCCTGGTTCTTCTTTATGCTTGATTTGGGTGAAGAGTCACGCTTACGAAATGTTTTTTGGGCGGACAATCAATGTCGATATGCTTACAATGTTTTTGGGGATGTCATTACATTTGACACAACATATCTTACCAATCGATATGACATGCCGTTTGCGCCATTTGTAGGCGTGAATCACCACGGTCCATCAATATTGCTTGGTTGTGAGCTAATCGCAAGTGAAGATACTCAAACGTTTGTGTGGTTTTTTAAAGCTTGGCTTGAGTGTATGGACGGGTGTGCCCCGAAGAGAATTATTACCGACCAAGATCGAGCAATGTAAAACGTCATGCAAATAGTGTTTCCGAATACGCGACACCGATGGTGTTTATGGTACATCATGAAGAAGCTACCGGAGAAGTTGGGAGGGTTTACTCATAAATATAAAATTATGGATGGTATACATGATGGGTATATGACTCCGAATTCCCTGCTAATTTTGAAGTTGGTTGGAAATCTCATTTGGAAAGGTGGTACACATTAGGGTGGAAATCTATTATTTATTTCCAAACACATTTTGTCTGGGTCAGACATTAGTAGTGTGAGACAATTAACCAATTTATGTCTTATAGTCAGACACATTTTGTCTGGGGCACACAAAATGTAACACTGCCCCCGAGTATTTGTACTGTATCAAATTATTTATCGAACCCTGAGAAATGAATAAAAGCATCTTTACGTAATTGTAAATTTTTATCATTTCTTTTTCGTGAATGGTAAAATTCGCGTGGGGCCCACACCGGAGGTGGGGCCGCCAGATATTATCGGGACCACATATTATGTTAATCTTGGACTAGATAATATGTATATGGTGATGGATATCCTAATTGGGCCAAGGCAATGGCATAGAGTTGACCGGTTGGTCAAACGGGGCCAAATTATCGGTATCAGCAATTTATCAGATAACAGCCCAAAAAGGGATTCCGGAGACTTATAAATTAAAGTTGGGGAATGCATATTGATTCTAAGGTCCAATAAGGATTGGGAACAAGTGTTATATTTTAATTGACCCGATAAAATAAAATATACTTAAAACAGTCCGGAAAATACAACTTTCGGGGCCGATTGTACACCCCGGGACACAAAGGGTTGACCTCCCACATAAGTGGGGGCCAACCCACGTTTTTGGGCTGCAAATGAATAAGGGGAGCCGCACATTAACATGAGGAAAGAGGGGAGAAAGGACTGGGAGACCAAATGTGATAGGAGAAGGGTCCCCCCCCCCCCCCCCCACATTATTGGTGAATAAGCCAAAAGGAGTATCTCTATCACTCCTAAACCCATAAGCTCGGCCAACCTACCTAAGGAAGAGAGATAAGGTCTGTAAATACTCCATTTTCATCCACCATCTACGCACTTGAGTTAAGGAGGAAGAAGGAGGGGAAAAGAGAAGAGGAAAAGTTGGTTTTGGAGAGGAAAACTTGTGTTTAGCAAGGTAAGGACTCCATTAATCCCATTTCGTTTTCTTTAATCCTCTTATATGATTATTCAATCATATTTCACGCCCTAGGATTGTTCTACACGTTTGGAAGTGTAGAATGAGGGGTTGGAAGGTGGTTCTAAGTCCAAGAACGGACTTAGAAGCCAAGTAACCGGTTCGCCGGAAAATAACCTTTTGGAGGTTATTTGTATTACTATGGGTTTTATGATGATAAAACCTTGTTAGTAACTTGTCTAAGGTATTCGAGGAACTTTCACGGAGTTGAAAGGGTCGCCGGAGCTGTCGCCGGAGTTCGTTGAAGTTCGCCGGAGTTTCGCCGGAGCTAAATCGGGAAGGCTAGAACTTCATAAGCTTCATTAAGGTGAGAAGACGGCTTTATGCTTCATAACTTTTGCGTGAGGCATGAGATTACCTAAAGTAATCAAGGATATGTTTTATGAAATGAGTAAAGATAACCAAGTGTTTGCTTATGCCATGATTATACATAAAACATAGTTGAAAAGCATGTTATGTAGGTTTGGTGGTTAAAAGTGTGATAACTTATTATGTGTGATGTTCCAGGGATCCAAAATGGTATTTTTGGATCAAGGACGTCAAGGAGTATATGTGTATAAAATTTCACGTTAATCGGACTCCGTTTGGGTGGTCAAACAGGCGTTGACCTACAAGTCAACTGTCATACCCGACCGGGTATTGACACATACCCGACC